GCAGCTAGTGCTTTGTGCATTTCCACTAAATGTCTAGCAGCTAGCAGCTAAATCAGAATTAATCACTACAGGCTGATTTCAGCCAGTGCAACCTCTGTCTCTTAAAGTCCTTTCTCAGGAGAAGGCACCTTTCTTTCAGGACGTCTCTATTACTCTTCATTTTCTCTAGAGGGATAGATCATAGAATCATAGATCATTTGGGATGGAAAAGACCTTTAAGATTGTTGAGTCCAATTGTAAAGCAAACACTGTCAAGTCCAACACTAAACCATGTCACTAAGCACCACATCTACACATCTTTTAAATACCTTCAGGGATGGTAACTCAATCACATCCCTGTGCAGCATGTTCCAATGCTTGACAACCCTTTCAGGGAAGAAATTTTCCCTAATACCCAATCTAAACCTCCTCTGGCACAACTTGAGGCCATTTCCTCTTACCCTATCACTTTTTAGTTGGAAGAAGAGATTGACCCCCACCTTACTACAACCTCTCTTCAGGTAATTGGTTTAGAGAATGATAAGACCCCCCCAGCCTCCTTTTCTCCAGGCTAAACAACCCCAGTTCCCTCAAAGAATACACCCAGCAAAGAATACACCTGTCCAAGCCATGAACATCTGGTTTCTCCAGGGTAATGCTGTGGAAAGTGGTGCCAAAGGCTTTACTAAAGTCTAGGTAGACAATATCCACAGCCTTTCCCTCATCCACTAAGTGGTCACCTTGTAATAGAAGGTTAGTCAAGCAGCACATGCCTTTCATAAACCATGCTGACTGGGCCTGATGGCTTGGTTGTCCTGTATGTGCCGTGTGATGGCACTCAAAGTGGCCCAATTGAAGCAATAATGAAGCAATTACCTCAGGCTCTGGCTATATCTTCTGCGTGCATAAGCTTAGGCAGATGAGTATAATTTTGACTATTTGAAGTTCAAGGCGTGAAAAAGAACAAGATGCTAGAAATACACAGTAATGGATGTAAACATTGCGATATGTATATGAAATATTAAATATATTTGACTACTTATTTAAATTTTCTGTCTTTTAAGTCATATAAAAGGTGTTCTGTATACAAATAAATCATAGAATCAAAGAATCATAGTATCAACTTGGTTGGAAAAGGCCTTTAAGATCATCAGCCATTACTCCAGGACTGCAAAGTCCACCATTAAACTATGTCACTGAGTGTCTCATCTACACATTTTTTTAACACTTCCAGGGATGGTGATTCCATCACTTCCCTGAGAAGCCTGTTCCAATGCCTCATCACTCTCTCTGTGAAGAAATCTTTCCTAATATCCAATCTAATCCTCCCCTGGTGCAGCTTGAGGCTGTTACCTCTTGTCCTATTACTTGTTACTTGGGAGAACAGACCGACCCCCACCTCACTACAACCTCCTTCTAGGTTGCTGTAGAGAGTGATAAGGTCACCCCTTGAGCTTTCTCTACTCAAGGCTAAACACCCCCAGTTCCTTTAGCTGTTCCTCGTAAGGCTTATTCTGCAGACCCTTTACCAGCTTTGTTACCCTTCTCTGGACCTGCTTCAGCAACTCAATATCTCTCTTGTAGTGAGGGGCCCAAAACTGAACACAGATTTCAAGGTGCAATCTCACCAATAGCTGCATGATAGCAGACTTTAGCAGAAAAAAATATATTTGACTACTTATTTAAATTTTCTGTCTTTTAAGTCATATAAAAGGTGTTCTGTATACAAATAAATCATAGAATCAAAGAATCATAGTATCAACTTGGTTGGAAAAGGCCTTTAAGATCATCAGCCATTACTCCAGGACTGCAAAGTCCACCATTAAACTATGTCACTGAGTGTCTCATCTACACATTTTTTTAACACTTCCAGGGATGGTGATTCCATCACTTCCCTGAGAAGCCTGTTCCAATGCCTCATCACTCTCTCTGTGAAGAAATCTTTCCTAATATCCAATCTAATCCTCCCCTGGTGCAGCTTGAGGCTGTTACCTCTTGTCCTATTACTTGTTACTTGGGAGAACAGACCGACCCCCACCTCACTACAACCTCCTTCTAGGTTGCTGTAGAGAGTGATAAGGTCACCCCTTGAGCTTTCTCTACTCAAGGCTAAACACCCCCAGTTCCTTTAGCTGTTCCTCGTAAGGCTTATTCTGCAGACCCTTTACCAGCTTTGTTACCCTTCTCTGGACCTGCTTCAGCAACTCAATATCTCTCTTGTAGTGAGGGGCCCAAAACTGAACACAGATTTCAAGGTGCAATCTCACCAATAGCTGCATGATAGCAGACTTTAGCAGAAAAAAATATATTTGCTAAGGTGCTGAAACTGTTTGCATCTTGCTTTACCATATACTATATGTTGTTACACCCACTTAGTCCCCGTTTGGTGTCCCCTTACACCAGTTGACACAATTCAAACCAGCTGATAAAACTGATTATTGCTCCAGAGAAAGAAAGAGGGAGACTTGCTGGTGTCAATGTACAACGCTATGCCTGTGTGCCCCATCATGGCACAGACACTGCTCTAGGAAGCGAGTTACATACTACCTCAACAACTGAGGAGTGTAAGAAATATGCTTCACAGTCCTACAGTATCTTACTAAAACCCCTCTAAACATATAAATAAACACATACCTTAAAATTTTCTTCTGTCAGTCCTTCCTCAGTTTTGGCATCTCTTATCATTGCTGCAACATATCTTTTCACCAGATTTCTCATAACTTCCTAAAACCATAAAATATTGTGTTAGCTTTCTTGGGATTAATTACTAAACCTAGACTCACCAGGCCTATTTGGGCTTCTTTGTGTTTTAGGAACATGACAAAACACGTACAAACCTTATATCTGGTTGGAAATTTGTTCTGCTTTTCAGTGCGTTTGGCTGACAGTATGTCTCATGCCAGTAGCATGCAGTCTGACAGTGGGCAGTTGCTGATGCCTCATGAGGAACTGTAAGTGTATTGTGGTTGCATAATCTTATTTCCAGCTATACTCTCCCAAACCTCCTGCAATGTGAGATTCAGAGACTTTCTGAATCAGCAACAACAGCTCTAGGTTTAATGGGCTGTGACAGGTTTTCCTGTGAGTTTTTAACTCATGTTAATTCTCAGCATCCACAAATCCTTCACCAATAAAATCCACAGTATAGCTGCAATAAGATTCTGTGTAGGGGGTTGTTCATTTTTAACTTGCTCTGTGATAGTTTCCATTGTTGCCTTCTATTTCTAAGAATCCTATATTTATATAGGTTGGAAGAGATGCCTGGAGGCTGACTGATCCAGCTCATGGCCATAACCAGTCAAATGCTGAATATCTCTAAGGGTGAAGATGCTGCAGCCTCCCTAAGCAACTTTTTCCAATTCTTTACTACCCTCACTGTGATGATGACTTTCCTTACAGAATTTCCCTTCTTTCAGTTTGTGTCCATTGACTCCTTTTCCAAGAAAAGTCTGGCTCTTCTTCTCTCTACCTACCTACTGTGTTCTTGAAGACAGCAATTAGATCCCCCTTAACCTATTCCAAGCTGAAATCTGAGTTTCTCCTTTTATGTCACCCCTCTAACCACCTTGGTCGCCCTTTCCTCTCTTGCAGTGGGAGGCCCAAAACAGGACACACTGCTCCAGTCTTACAAGTATGGGCTGGTGGGGAATAATCACTTCTCTCAGAGTGCTGCCTACAGCCTTACTAATGCAGTGCAGTATGTGTCTTGTGTTCAGTTTGCAGATAGATGGTAAACAGCTGCTCTGTGTTCACTTTCCCCCTGATTTTATAAATCCCTGTTGTACTTCCCACAGCTGTCTCTTTTCCAGGTTGGAAAAGTCATTTCTCATATGGAATCCATTAATTACCAAACCTGCAAGTGTACAGCCCACATCTTGTTTAACTTGCAACAAAAATTGAAAATAATCTGAAAATTATTCCTTGTGCAATAACCTCAAAAAATCAGAGGCTGAAGCAGGAAGGATGGAGAAGATCAGGTTTGAGGGTATCTAGGCAGTTGGGTTATTAAGGGACAGGAAGTTGTCTATGGGGAGCCAGAGCTGGAGAGATGGAGAGCAGGTTCACATGAAATATGTCATTGAGCTGCACATATGATCCTGATGAATCCCAGCAGGGAGGAGGGACTATGTGGGTTGTTTTTTTTTAAAGGCAGTCCATGTTACAGTGGGCAAAATACTAGTTAGTATATGATTTCTCTAGAAAATACCCTTTTGCACCCCAAAAGTAGACAACCCTACTTCTCAAATGCTGTTCTTTTGAACACCAAAAATACTATGCTTGTTTGTTGAGGATGATATAAGTATTCATTTTTTGAGTTTTTCCTCTTTCTCTTTATTTTTTTTATTTTCTTCTTTCTCATGAAATTTCTTTTTTTTTTACCCCGCAAAGACATTTTGGAGGCACAGAAAAATAATTGTCAAAAAAATAAACCTGGGCCTGTACCTGGTACTGATGATGTCTTCTCAGATTGTCAGCTGCACGCCTCTAGGAAAGAACAAAAACCATGAATCCTTACCTGGTAGTAAAATACTTACTGCATAACAAAACGGCAGGTCTGTGCAGTATGTGGTATGTACTAAGCTGAAGGGCTGGTCAAAGTCTGTTGAAGGTAGCAGTGTTGGAGCAAAGACTGAAGTGTATTTTATTGAATTGAGAAAAGCTTGACATAAGCATGGTGTTAGCAAGACACTTGCTATGGCTCCTAATGTCTCATTTAAGATAGACCTAACCAATATCAGCACTATAAAATCATACTGAAGCGAAAATTTCCTGCTTAGTTCCTATTAAAAACACTTGGTCATAGAGAGGGGTATGGAAGAAAGAAACGTAGCCTGCAATGCGGTTTGGTGTTGATAGGGAAGGAGGGTAATAACTCTGAATAAGAACAGCAAAAAGAAGTGTGGTAGGACAAAAGCATAGTTCAAGCTTCAAGCAAGTGTTGCATTAGTTTATACTGCAATATCTAAGGGCTATGCAGAAGAAGATGCATTGAAAAAAACAAACGTCTTGAATTACTTAGTCTTTGGATTACTGCTGTCCTCAATAGCATACTGAGTCACATCTCCCTGTTCTATACCTTAATTATCTCTGACTGGTGAAAGAAAGACAATTTTAACTTGGGTTCTTGTATCTGCTGCTGGTGAGAAAAGATGGTGTCTAACCACTGATTGTATTTTCACAAAACAGGATAATTCAGCATCTTAAAACAGGGTAAAAGGACATCCAAGGGACTTGTTAAAATTTACCTCAGTTACATAATGAAGCAGACACAGTAAGGTATTTTGTCATCTTCTTCTACTTGAAACTGATTGGCAATTTATAATTAACACTTTCCCTGTACTCCAAATCAGTTTAGTCTTTAGAGGTGACTTCTTGTTTGTAATTAATTTGAGAGACGCAGTTGCTGTGTGGCTGGGCTTCACAAAAAATAATAGAAAGGGGAAGGTCATGATTTCCCAATCACTCTGAACAGCCACTGTGCTGTAGGGCTTTATACATAAGCATCTTGCCATCAGTATTTTTCCAGATGGTGTTTCTATATCTATGCCTCATCCAAAGAGAAGATGGAAATTTTTTGTGTTTAAGAGTGGAGGGACAGGAGAGCCTCCCCAGCGCTGGGGCCAGAGGGGGCAAGGCAGCCATGGGGAGGCTGATACCCTCCCACCCAGCACCCGCCTGCCTTTAGCTAGTTTTAGAAAAAAAATTCTGATTTTTCGCAATTGACCACACGATGGAGATGTTTCATTTCTGCTGAGAGGGCACTGAAGAGGTCTGCAGCTAAGAAAGCTCACCAACAGATCTGACTTACAGGCAAAAGGAAAAACCACTTTAAGGTGTAATTGAAATGCACTTCAGTTCAGGCAAGGCTAATAACTCGTATAAACAAACAAATGATGAATTTTATCTTGTAGAATACTTTCTGGAGTTGCTGTCTGCTCTGCTTTAATTCACAGTGAAATGTGAAATAAATGCATAGGTTTAATTCTGTACCCATAACAGGAAATGGCTAAATCAGGTTTATCCTTTTCATGCAACCAATTCTGAAGTTCCCGGAAACAGAGGCTGTGGATTTTTAAACAAATTCATTTATGTAGCGACATGTCCAGAACAGTTTTACTGCACTTAACAATTGTTTTCAATCCATACCACTGAGAAGGTGAAAGAGAATGCATTTAATGGTGCGTTTTCAAACACAAACACATAAATACTGCACAGGGAATTATCCATACACATAACCTATAAAAGTTATTACACCCATCACTTCCCTATCTCCTGTTTAAATGTACAGATTCAGTCTCCAGTTCATAATGGCTTTCAATTCCTTCTGAAAGCAGAATAAATCTTTGCTTAAACACATTTAAAAATCAAAGTATTCACTATAAATTCATAAAATGGCATTAACATCCGTATTGTACTTATTTAGTTTTCAGCCAGCCTGCTTTTCTCTATGTGGTCATAGTCTAATTCATGGTCTTTCGAAAGTTGTTTCAAGTAACCACCATGCTATGTGCTTCTTCAAGTGTTGAAAACTACAGCTGACAAAGATGTAAAAGTTAAATCTAACTAAAAATAGCAACATTCTTCTGATGACAATGTTTTATTAGGTCATGAAACTGAAGGGGATGATAAAACACTTTCCAAAGGGGCATTTATATAATTTACTAATCTTGAATAGTAGTTCTCCTAGCAGTGATAATAATTTTGGTCTTTCTGCTTATACCATTCCTAGTAATTTGCATTGTTTGGAAGAAAAATCTCTTTAGCAGTGAAAAATCTTAATTATTATATTGAATATTGAAAAATATTGGGAATATCTGTACATCAGATGCACACATACACACACACAAATATCACTGAAGATACTCCTGATGATCCTTTCCATTTTCTCCTCTGCAATACTTCAAATTATAGGTAAAAAACTTTTTGGCAACTGATCAGACACAAAGTGGAATGTAATTTGAGTAAAACAGCACAATTTATTCCAGTGGGATTGGGGTTACTTATATCTCTTTCTTGAAATAGCAATCAATTTCAGGTGGCCAACAGTAGTAGCCTTGAGACACCCAAAAGCCTTGGACAGTTAGGAGAACTTTAGCCCAACCAATACAATTACATTACTAATCTGGCCTTCACAAAGGTGAGCTGACAAAGTTAACAGAACTGATATATAGATATATATATGTAAAAAGCAGCACACACTGTTATTTCAGAGGTTTGAGTGTAAGAGATCTTTGTGGTAATAGCTAAAAGGAATGCTGCATACCTGGGATGTGTCAAAATGACAGAAAATAAAGATGTGCTGCAATCTGAAAGGTAGAAGATCTCTGATTAATAGCAGAGCTGAAGTACTAGTAAGCAGCATGTAACCATCCTGGCTTCCCCTCAGCTGTAGCTGTGCTAGGAGAAGCTGCCATCAGCATGGCTGGGCAGTGTGTTGCTTTGGAGGAAAAAACTGTCCTTTGAAAAGGCTGCCCTTGACACCCCCACCCACTGCTTCAACTGTCTCAGTACAACAAAGGCTGGCAGAATCACAGAACCGACAACCAAGGAGGAGCAAATTAATCACCTTTCTTTAGAGGCACCTCACTTCCCTGCAGACTGTTCTTTCCCATGATAGCTTTGTTATAAGCAACACTGTAGATGGTCCCTGCAAGCAACCATGTCATACTTATTTCTACTGACAT